TTATGTAGCTCATCTTTAAAAGGTGCACATGCCTTGACAAATTGTGCTGTGTTGCCTCTCCATAGATCTGACATGTAACTAATGTGACCTAGTGGTGTCTGTACTTGGCTCCATATCTATAGAGAGATGTCTTTAATGCTGTACTTTTGAACATTCCAGGCATAGCAATAACATCTCCATGGAAACAAGCACATACCAGAAAAGTTACATAATTCTTACATTAATGTCGGACGTACACTGTGCAATATTTTCACTCGTTTCACTCAGCCCCATCTCATAGTGTATGATCAAATCACAGGGTTTAAAAGTTCACAGCTTGTGGAACGACGAAACCCTCACGAGAAGTGACTGGATTTGAAACAGGTTTGGTCTCGTTTTGGTCTCACGTCTCGTTTCCCCATGGTAACAACACGAAGCACGACTCACGATTAAGCCAAAACTCGGCCTGATCCCAGAAACTGTTGCACGAGTGAAAAATTTGCTCAAAAAGGGACAATTGCACACTGTGCAATTGTCACTTTGTCCCAATTGTCCCAAGGTGGGGCCAAGTTGTTGTTTTGCGAGTCTCAAGTAAGTCTCAAGTCCCAAGTCAAATATTGGCAAGTCCAAGTCGAGTCTCGAGTCACTGGTCCATAAGTCCAAGTCAAGTCCAAGTTGTCTGCTTTGAGCTTCAAGTCATTTCAAGTCTTTAAACCAGATTTTTTTAAAATTCAGAATTTTAGAATTTTAAACATATTTAAATCAATTTACTCAAATCAAAATCAAATCAAACTTTATTTATAAAGCACTTTTCATACAAAATGCAACACAAAGTGCTTTCAGTGATTAAAAAAGTCCACATTTCCAACCACCCACCCACCAACCCAACCCCGCACCCCCAACCCCACATAGTCAAACAACCCAAACACACACACACACACTCACACTCCACACTCACACGCTAAAATTAACCGGACACAATAAAATTGAGGCTGAATACAGGCGAACCAGTGAGAAAGCACCATCAGAGGAGCCGTTGCACCGGGAGCAGAGGACGTCCACCACCACCAGGAACCACCACAGGGTCCAGGGGAGAGATGAAGCCCAGGCACCTGAGGCCAAGCACCATCCCTCCACCAGGAGCCCACATGACAGACCCAGCAGCCAAAGCTATGAACACTGAATCCTAAAAAATTGCCTAAAACTAAAAAATGTGTAAAAACATGTATAAGATTTCAATCAATTATATATATATTTATATATAAGTATTTATATAAGAGTTGTAGAAATGCTAATTTTTTTCTTTTTAAATGTTTTGACAAGATCTTAGTGCGAATTATTACGGTCAGAATAGAAAGAATTCAGGTTTAAACGTGCTAAATAATAGTTATTTTGTCATGAAGGATCTCTATAATTCTCTCTGCATATTACTGTATTGTACTGTATATTGCTGTATTTTACTGTATATTACTGTATATCCTAAAAATAGTGAGTCAAGTCTGACTTGAGTCCAAATCACGACTTGCAAGTCCCAACCTCTGGTCCGGATTAAGCTGAGTCGCCTCTCCACAGATCTGACATATAACTTTGTCTTGTGGTGTCTCCCATTTGTCATGTAGTATAAAGCGTTATGTTTTGAAAGATATAGAGCTCTGGAATTAATGAATGATGCATTACATTTTTAATTAAATTTTGTCTCATATTTACAGTAAGTAACAAGTGAAATCGTAAATGCAAACTTTCTGTTCAGACGCTGCTTTTCTTTCTTGGAATTCTGTCATTGTTTTATAGGATTAGATTTTCTAAGTACTTTTACTTCAGCCTAAACCCTTTCGGTCATGGTCCATGGGATGTAGTCTATGTTTTCTTTTGTTTTGTAGTGCTGCAAAAAGACTGAAAAAACTACTACTAAATAAAAAAAAGAAAAAAAAAATGTAGATATAGGCCTATTTAATGCCATTCTTTACATTCTGACCACTCACCATGAAAAGTTACGCAGTGCACCTTTAAATTGCGCCCCTATATATGCCTTGACAAAGTGTGCTGTGTCTCCTCTCCACAGATCTGACTTTGCCTAGTGGTGTTTCCAGATTGTCATGTAGATATAGACCTATTTAATGTCATTTTTTACATTCCAAAACAAAGCAATTCCATCTCCACGGAGACAAGCAAACAGCTGACCCTCACCAGAAAGGTTACACAGTGCACCTTTAAAAACAGTAGAGCAGGTGTGTTTCGTAGCGTGTCCGTGTAGCTCGTGTCCAGGTGCGTTGCTCCAGTTTTCCGCAGACATCATTAGACTTTGAGGCGTCTCTTCTCGATGACCTACTTTTCTCCAGTCCCACTGTCTCTGAGCTCAGGAGCACGGGGCACGTTTCAGCTCAAACAGGAACTTTCAGAAGGGAGGAGGACTAATTATGAAGTGAATGAACAAAGACTACACACACGTACATTATCTGGGCTCGTCTCCATGGCTAATTATGTGCAGACAGTAGTGTTGTCATGATACCAATGTTTCAAACTGGATTTTAATACCGAGGAATAGACTCGATACTGATTCTGATACCGCAGTGGTAACAAAAAACACTTTCTTTAGATAATAGAGTGTCATTTTCAACATCAAATCATAATATTTTCTATTCCCATGTGGTCCTGTATCTGTGTAATCCCTCAGTCTAGGTGCTCTTATACTTGTATCTAGTATCTAATATCGATACTAGTTTTAGTATCGATTAGCAGAGGTGGGATATAAAATTTGGGACTTGGACTCAAGTCAGACTTGAGTCAGACTTGACTTGATAAAATGGTCTAAGACTTGGGACTCTACTTGGACTTGAAGGTCAATCACTTGGGACTTGACTCAGACTTGAGGCCTGTGACTTGAGAAGACTTGATGCCTCTTCTAAAAATATGTTTTTAGAAAGTACTTGCAGCGATAAATTTTACAGGAACAAACTGGAACATGTCCCTCCCACTTCTGTTTGTTACTTTGGTTGTAACTGAAGTACTGTGATATGTATCCTCAAATGTACTACAGTAATATACAGTACAATGTAGTAATATACAGAGGGAATTACAGAGAACATGATCCTTCACTTTAACATCTTAATTATTTCTGTTCTGACTGTAATGATTCAAACTAAGATCTTGATAAGACATTTAAAAAGGAAAAAAAAAAATTTCTACATATAATACTCATAAATAAATATACCATGAATTTTTAAGTACAGTTTATCATAAAATTCATATAAATTGGAAAAATCCAGTTTATATTTGGTATTTTGGTTTAAAGACTTGGAATGACTTGAAGCTCAAATCAGACGACTTGGACTTGACTTAGACTTATGGACCAGTGACTCGAGACCCGACTTGGACTTGCCTGTATTTGACATGGGACTTGACTCGGACTTGAGACTTACTTGAGACTTGTAAAACAACGATTTGGTCCCAGCTCTGTCGATTAGTATCTGCTTTTACCTCTGACAGCCGTCGCGTAGTGTGAAATGAACGCCACACTGGTAAATGGTCACAGTTTTATACAGCGTTTTTCCACCTTCAGGGCTCAAAGCTCTTTACAATAAGGAACCACTCACCCACACACACACACATTCATTCACCAATGCTCGCAGACACTGGGGGCAAGGAGGGTTAAGTGTCTTGCCCAAGGACACAACAACAGCATTCATCCATGGGAGCTGGAATCACACCAGCCAACCTGTGGCTCAGTGGATTCAACCAATGATGTTTATGTCGAGAGCGGGATTCAAACCGTCAACCTTAGATGTTTTAAACCAGATGCCCTTCCTTATACAAAATATTATTATTATTAAACAGGCTTGGGACAGACATATTGTACTTAGCCAAGGTCTTATTCATAGATTACATCCTTCTGTTCAGGATTCAGGTTTATACAATATTCTTTGTTTAATTGTTAACTGCTATGGAAACAAATGCTGCACATTTTCCATCACTCTGAAATCCAAATATAATCAACGAAAGAAAATATTAAGACATGAAAATATGGAATCATGTGTTTAAAACTTTGTTAAGTTTCAGATACAGGCCATAATATTATTTTTATTTAAATACAGCCAATATGTTTTGCTCCGCCAATATTCCACAGTATGGCATTAAAGTAATCTCCATAGACACAAGCAGGAGACAGCACCAGACCAAGTTACAGCTCAGAACTGTGGAAAGGCGATCCCCCTCATGTTTGTGCATATTTTTCAAAGAATGTAGTAGCAAAATATGCTCCTGTGTAACTGAGTACAAGATTTGTAAAGCCATACAGAGGAACATTCTGTCTTGGCAAAGCAACATGGAACCTTGCAGGCAGCAAAGCCCTCATCCAAAAAGTTACATAGTGTAGCTTTAAAGTGGAACTAAAGACCTAAACAACCTACAAACTCATTTCAAACAGAGCTACTAAACTAGACAGTCTGTATCAGAAACAGCTGTCTGTGATCAGAGCAGTCCTGCGTGATGTCACATAGTACTTGAAACTGCAGGGAAACAGCACTAACTTAGATTTATGTGTTGTTGTTTTTTTTATTAAAACTGCAAATTTACACAATTTGTACTATAAAATTGTCAAGAAATGAGTGGGAACAGTAGCTAATGCGATTAAAGCACCATATGCACAGTTTACTAAAATAAGTTGATTTAGTGTTTAGCTCCACTTTAAACTCCTGCTGTTGTGGCTTTTTATTGCAGCAAATATCAGTGACTCTAAAGCAGTTTCATGAGCCTCTGTGACTAATATCGTACAGGATTTCCGTACCAAACAAATGCACTGGAGTGGAGCATTAATCGGATTGACTGTGATATAAATGGTTTAATAACACAGAGAGCTCAGAGGAGGCGGAGCTCTGAGGCGCGCACCACACTCCCTGAATACAAAACAACTATTCAAGAAAAGAGCCACTGCCACTCACAAACATCATCCAAACTTTATCATCAGCAAAATGTACACAGCAGAAAGTGATTCAAACCATTAAATAATGATGAGCGACATGAAGAGATGCACTTAAATATGATTTGGCAATAAATAAATAATATCATAAATTAAGGCGTCATAGAGATAATCATTTTATAGAGTATTGCCCATGGGTTCTGGCTCATTCTGAATCTGATTGGTCCAAGTGTCACATCAGTAGAATAGGCCAAAAAAAATCAAACTGGTTGAATCCAGGTGAGAGAAAAGCACGGGTTCACAAATGCAGAGAGCTTCCGTCTGCACATTTTTCACGATGTTTGAGTTAGAGTTTCTGCTAAAACAGACTGAAGTACGTCTGTCAGCACTGCTATTGTTTGTTTGTTTATTTGGGCACTTCACCTTTAGCTTCACCCAAACCACTATGCTGCTCTATGATTGGTCCAATCTCTGGCCCACTGTTGGTCCAGGCCTTATCACACCATCACACAAGGTTACTGGGTTAGAAGTAGTACTCTCATTATGTAAAACAATAAAACAGTTATAATTCATTTAAGTTGCACACTTTCTAAAAAATACATTTTAAACTGTAATTTAGAGAAAAGATACAATTTTTGTTGGTTTGAATACAATGTATGGGCAAGATATTCACCTAAACTTCAGCTCTGCAGTCTGATTCCTGTAACTTAAAAGTAAGTGTCACATTCACTTCAATCTTGCAGTCATTTGTTGATTAAAATGTCACTTTTGGCTTCAGGCACTGGTGATGGAGGTCTGTAGTTTGATCCTCAGGCAAAGATGGTTGTGATGAAGTCTTTGAATCGTTTGGCGTACTGCTCTGGATTCACAGTGGAGATCTCAGCTGCTGCCTGTCCACACAAACACACACGATTATTTCATTTACAATACATCACATTAAACCTATTCAGCGTAAAATAGTTATGTAAGAGTACAGTGGTTATGTAGATAAAAAAGAGACTTGTAAGTAACGAGCACCTCTGCATGGTTTCCTTGCCAGACCAGACTAAAACTGACAGAGAGTTATGTTAAACTTCTTCTAAGACCTTACCATTTGCTTGTTTAAATCATTGAAGATTGTCAATATAAAGCTTTTGTGACTAGTCGACATACAGTGGGAAGAGTCACTAAAACCTTTGCTCATTATATTACTCAAATAGGAGTAAAAATGTGTTGTCAGAAAGTGACTTGTAAAATGAGTATATGTAACAGAGTAGGACCACTTGAACACGTCTTTCCTTTCCGACCAGTCTAAAGCTGATATATTCTGCACATCTCCCTGTGTGGGATGAGCTCGTCTTACCCCGTGTTTGACGGCCTTGGCGGCGTGAGCGGCCTTCTTCTTTGTGTCGTACTGAGTCAGAACATCGATCAGACCCATGAAGTACACCTCCCTCTGAGGAGCATCTGGACACAGCACGCACAGGAAGGACAGACTTTAAAACTAAAAGTAAAAACTATGGTGTAGGCGGCATTTATGTGCTATTAGTCTGCATTTAGTGATAAACAAATGCTTTTTGTGGAACCTTTGACAGAACTGATTCTCTGCTTCCACCTGAAAAGTATAGAAGGTAACTTTTCTAGTGGAGGTCTAATACATCATTGTTTCCCAAACACTGGGTCGCGTCCCTCAGGTGGGTCACAAGAGATTTTTTTGGGGTCGCCTTGTCATGATCTGCATGTAGGTCTGTGATATACAGTTCTGTCAAACAAGAGAACTAGTGAGTCAGCAAATATATTCTCGTATTTTTGGACAAGTGTTTCGTCAGACTATCCTGTCCTCAGTAGAGCCAGTATTTCTCTGCTTATTCCTTTCACTACTACATATATGTGTGAATTGGGATTTTCTGTGCTCACAAAAATGAAGACAAAGCACAGAAACAGACTGAATACTGCTGCTGCTGCGTCTCCTCCTGCACCCGAAGTGAAACACTACAAAAACACAGACAGGCCCACCTATCTCATTAGAAATGTTCAAATGTTAACACGTTTTGTAAAATTTCTAATCTTTTTTGTAATTATTTTATTGATTTATTTGTTCAAATATTGCTGGTTCAATTGAATGTTGAAAATAAAAATAAATGTTCTACATTTAATGTCCAAACAGGCGAATTATGGATCCTTTTATTGCTGCTTCGACTGTTTTTCATTGTTTCAAACTTGAGTAATACTAATTGTTCAGAGACATGATCACTTAGTCAACAATCAAATATCATCATTAATGTTCAGTAATGGTCAAATCCAACTTTATTTTCTGATTTATGAATAATGTCTATTGATTGGTCGCAAAGGTTTGTAACTTTTAAAATATGAGTCCCCAGAAAAAGTTTGGGAAACACTGGTTCAGTTCTGGTTTAGTCCCGGTTTATTCAGTCCGTGATGTGTGCGGCGCATAAGTCCGGCAGCTCGATTAGTGTTTCTTCTGCTCAGTAAATAAAGCCTGTGAAGTGATGACAGTCGAGTCACATCTGTGAATTCATATTCGTACTGAAGAAAGCGTAACTGTTTCATTTCATTTCGTGATTGTAATTTTTGAAGTTGTAACTTTTCAATTCATATTCTGATGGATGCTTCAGTTAGAATGCTTTTAATTTGTGTGTGGTTTATCACGGGCACGAGCGGGTAATGGGAGGAATGTTAACGGGTCCGGGCCAAAGCGGGTTTAACTGATAAAATCACGGGTTAACAGGCGGGTGTGGTGCTGTGCTGCATAGGTGCGGGCAGGTGCAGGTCTCCAAAAATGGACCCATGCAGGACTCTGATGGGAGCACACAGATTTTCTACCTGCTGTTCATGTTGAAGATAGTTTTTTCTTCATTTAAAGCACTTAAAATTGATTATGTGTCTTCATTCCTCACCAGTATCTCAGTGCGCCCAGTAAAAGTTCAGAAATGGCGTCACACAGAAGCCACAGTCTTACCCACAGCGCTCTGAATGGCGTACACGTCCACATAAGGGTCAAACTCTCCGGGCCCCAGAGGTTTGAATGAGTTCATGTATCCTGCGATTCCCTCCGGAGAGCTGGAGTACTGGACCGGAGCGCTCTCTTCCTCCTCTTCCTCTTCCTCACTCTCCTCCTCCTCCTCCGTTTCATCTCTCTCCGCTCGCTCAGCGTCATGGATCCCCAGCAGCAGACTGTAGTCCATGATCCTCAAACGCACCAAGAACTAAAACAAAAAAGGTCAGAGTCATTATTAAAGCTGCACTTTTCATCTGAATAAATAAGGTTAAGTTTAAAGGTGCATTGTGTAACTTTTGTGGTGGAGGGTCCATCAAATATTTTTCTCCCTGGAGATGTTATTGCTTTGTCTAGAATGTTTCACAGTATTCAATCTTCATGGAGACCAAACCAGATCAAGTTACAGGTCACATCTGTGGAGAGGCGACCCCGCTCACAGTCAGAATGAATGTCTGTTTTTCTACGTATTTTTGAGTTATAAAACCACCTGTAATTGAATAAATGTAAAGTAAAGTAAAGCTGTTTAATGTCATACTGTGGAACATTCCAGGGAGAGCAGCGACATCTCCATAGAAACAAGAATGTGTCACCAGAAAAGTTACACAGTGTATCTTTAAGGTACACTTTATTGGCCCCCTAGAGAAATTTGTCCTTTGCATTTGACTCATCCTTCATCCATCTTGTTGTTTAAGGCTGAATGTTCCACAGTTTTTAGGATTTTGTTTTTTAGGTTTTAGCTATTGCTCAAAAAAAATCTCAAAAAAAAAAAAAAAAAGGTAACACTTTATAATAACTACACCTTATTTTGCCTTAATAAAGTATGAACAAAGGCTTAATTAATAATGATTCACGCTTAGTAACCACTTAATTAGCACTTGCACTTAATTTGCTATTGTTATTTCATACTTAATTACTCATGGACTAACCATTTGAGCATTTATTGTGGTGTCATCTTCTTGTCGCCATGGAGATAGATAAGTTAAATGCCTTGCTGTGATACATTCTAGGTATAAAAAAAAACAAAAAACGTTTTCATATATTTGAGGAATAATTGCTATTTACTAGGTCATAAAGTGGCTTTGTTTGTGTTTGGATTTTGAATTAAGGGACAGTAGGTTAAGGTACACTTTATTGTCTGGGAAATTTGTCCTTTGCATTTGACCCACCCTTCATCTTGTTGTTTAAGGCTGAATGTTCCACAGTATGACATTAAACGTATCTATCTTGCATTCATTCAATTACAGGTTTTAGTTATTACTCAAATACCTTGAAAAAAAAAAAAAAAAAAAAAGATTTGACCTGTATCTTTACCTGGTGGTGTCATCTTCTTGTTGCTATGAGATGGATAAGTTAAATGCCTTACTGTGACACATTCTCAGTATAAAAAAATACCAAAAACGTTTTTCCATATATTTGAGGAATAATTGCTATTTGCTTTGTGTTTGGATTTGGAATTAAGGGACAGTAAGTGAAGATACACTTTATTGTCTGGGAAATTAGTCCTCTGCATTTGACCCACACTTCAAAGCCGCTGTGACAACCTGTCAGGAGCAGTGGGACCATCTCCAGATCTTTACCTAGTCTTGGTCAGCACTACCTTAACGACGCCACACACTACAGGATTTTTCGATCTTAAATGATTTTTGAAAGTGCACACTACAGACCCAAAGAGAATCTTATGAGACTTAAAATCTCTGCAGCAGAATGAAAAAGTTGTGAGCACGATCGTGTCAGCTGTTTCCTGTCTACAGTAAAACCACTCGCCCTGAGACTCTTAAAAGATCAGAGCACAAGTCAAAATTGTGTTACTAATATTTGTGAAATGTGGTGCAAAACTTTAGATACATGATTTTAATGCACAGAAGGTTGGAGATAATTTCCACAGGAAGTACAGTCACTGTCACTAATCTGCAGCTTCACCTCGAACCGTGCACTATGTGGATGTAAACAGACACACGTGAGGAACTACTCTCACCTTTTTACTTTTAAAGAACATTTTAAACTGGATTCACAGTGCGGTTTTGTGGACCGGATGTCATTATTTGAAGAGGACAATTTCTATATATAGTGTGGATAAGATGATGCAGATAAAATGTACCACTTTACGAGAGGTGAGGAATAAAGTTGCTATTTCCTGAGTTTGTATATTGCGCCTCTGTGTCCGTCACTCTGTCTGCTCCTGATGCTCTGCTTTATTGGCTGTTACTGTAGAATTGCCAAAGTTGGTTGCTGATGTTCAGTGGTTACTCTATGACAAAGTAGCTCAGAGTCACACAGACACACAGGAGCGCATGAGGAGCACTGCAGCTTCAGAATCTCACACTAAGACACAAAGACAGGACACGCCTCCCTGAACTCGGAAAGAAGCAAATCACAGCCTAAATTGGGTAAATTCTCCTGTAGTGTGTTAGCTGGAAGATTTCGCCTGTTGTGCATGTTTTTGTGCATGTTTGATGGGGGAAATTCCTAGCCTGATTCATCAGCCGGTTTCACTTCGTGGAAACCACCTGACCTCACAGGATTTGAATTTGTTCGCTCGATGGTAGGCGGGTACTTTTTTTATTTAACCAATCACTGCTATTTGGTCGTGACGTATGTAATGTGCCAAATCCCATAGGAAGAAGGGCAATAACGTCTTTGCCCTTGATAAAATTCTATATAAAACATTCTCTTTGTTCCAGCTTTAAATTCTTGATCTCGGGAATCGTTGCCAACACAGAATGTCTGTCTTCGTCTACATCCATCTCAATGCTTTGTTTACTGTTGTGCTGTACCACAAAAGGGACCCAGACGCGACGAGTTTGACATCTTGGCTTCACAGCTCACAGCTGATTGGCTGGTGCGTGGTCTACAACTTCTGGGGTTTTTGCAAACCATCTAGTGTATTCTGATTCCTGGCCTAGTAGCTGGAGAGAAATCAAATTGAGTGGAGGCACTAGGTGGCGACAGCCTGGTTAGGAAATTCCAGAGACAAAGAGAAAAAGACCTATAGCCTCTGTATAAAATAACGCCACAAGTATAAAATAATCCTAAAAAATAACATAAGTTGAATAAAATCCATCCCTTAACTTAATTGAAATTGAAATGGAACTTCATAGTCCCACCTCGATGTCCCTGTTGAGTTTCTCCATGAGTTTCTCCTTCTCGTCTTCATCCATGTAGATTTTCTGTAGGTTATTCTTAAAGTCTGTGTCTTTAAAAGTGGGCAGCTCTTTCACCTGCAAAACACAAACACTTTTATTTCTTCTTATATTTAATTACGACAGTACTGCGGAACATTCTAGACAAAGAAAAAACATCTCTGTGGAAACAAACATGGCGTACGGGTAAAACGTATTATCTCTAATACGTTTACTATTTTAATCATGTTGTTTGCCGTTATATAACACAAGCGCTTTATTCAAATACTGTTTTTTCATGAAGACACTCGCAGATCAAATGTTTCTGGAGCAGTTTTGAAATCCTTCATTTTGAATCTGGGTCAGAGCTGCGTGAGGCCGACCACAAAGCTCACATGTTTTTATAATACCAACTGCTACATCTCAGAAGTAAAACGCTTATTATTTCAGTCTAATTTCATATCATTTATTTATACTTCTGCTTCTATCTCTCCACCTCCTCTGCATCCTCTGCTCCCGCGCCGTTTAACTTGATGTCGTTTTTCACTACATCCATAAATCTCCCTCTCCCTCCTCAGTGCCATAAATTTACACTTTTCAAATAGAGCTGCTGAACTGGGCAGTAGGAGTGTGACGAGATACATTTTCCACAAAACGAGACAAGACATGAGATTGGATCTACGAGCACGAGACGAGGCGAGATTTTGAAATTATTTAGAAAACATAAATTATAGTTAAATGGACAAAATTGGGACCTGATTTACCATGGTAAGATTTTTACTGTTATTGTAGCACCTCTTTTTGGGACAACAGCTCAGTGTCTGTCCTGCACGGGTCCATTTTTTGGAGACCCGCACCCGCCTGCACCCACCCGCACCTGCGCAGTCCAGCACCACACTCGCCCAATAACCTGTGATTATATCAAAGTTAAACCCGCACTCGCCCCGACCTGTTAACATTCCACCTGTTACCCGCCCGTGCCTGTGAAAAATCAGGGTCAGTCCATTAGTCTGACAGCCCAAATGTCCAGGACTAAACCAGGACTGAACCTACGCCGTGTCATTAGCAGAATATACATGCCGCAAGCGCAGAGCCAATCACCAGGACTACACCGGGACTGGACCAGGACTAGACCAGGACTAAACCAGGACTAAACCAGGCCTTAATCAGGACTTAACCAGGTCTAAACTAGGACTAAACCAGGAGCACAGCCACTGAGCCGATCACCTCCGCTGATGTGTTTATGTAATAAAAACACTAAAGTCTCTCTCAGCCTGGTCCATCGTTCTGGGAAAAGAAAATGGCACTTGTTTCCAGGGCAAACAGACGCCCTCAAGTATTTTTCTCCCATTCGCCTTACATTTGATTCACCTTACAGGCCCATGTGGAACCACTAACCATCCGCATACCCACCCGAACATTAAAACCCGCCCATTGCAGCAACTATTTGCAGGACTCTGCTACAGCTTCTCAAAAACTGTAACTCAACAATTCTTAACTCCATTTTCTTTTTTAATCCAAATGTAAAAACATGGAAAAGAAATCTCACAAGAAAATTTTTGTCATGTGTGCACAATCTTGTGGAAATCTGGTCTTGCGAGATCTTGTCTCATCCCTGCAGGTATGAGGAACAGTGCGCTTGGTCTAACAGGTATCCACACTTTAATCTTTGCCTCTGCAGCCAAGGGTTTCTGATTACAAACAGGGCAGTCCTTCTAATGTCACGTAATACTTGAAATCGCAGTGGCCAATAGAGGCAGCACACACTTTTGTTTATTTACTGCTTTTTTAACTTTGAAAGCTGCAAATTTACCTGGACAATACTAAACGCCATATATGTAGTAGGAAAAAAGGTTGATTTCATGTCGCGTTTCGCTTTAAATTTCTTATGAATGATGATGAACATTTTAGTACAATTATTATTATTATTATACTGAACCCAAAAATAGAGGAACGTACCTTTTCTTTAAAGCTGGCCTCCCGAGACACCAAAGAGCCCTGTGGACATAAAAGCAATTTCAGAAAGTGACGGTTTCCAGACCTTATAAATCTGTCTATTTAAACTAAGTGTCGCCAGAAACAAAATCAAGCAAATGCATTTATTCCTAAAATTCTACACCAATGATACTAAACTTGATATCTTGCAGCTGATGTCGTCAACAATCCATGGTTGGTGAAGCTAACTGGAGGCACTGCTCTGTCTGCAGCTCTGGTGCTCAGGTTCGACCTTGATCTGAGCTTTGTTTTAACACAATTTGACCAAACAGAACGGACTTAGTTGGTATTACACTGTGAAAATCTTAAGATATAAATACTTAAATCTATCAGAAAATGACTTAAAAGTAGTGAAATGATCATGCTGCATGGACTGATCATTTTACTTGACAAGTTACCTTAAAATAAACTACCTCTAGACTAAAATTAAGCAGTCTCCTAACTCGTAAGTCGTTAATACATCTGAAAACAAGATGAATAACCTGATATAAGTTTTAAAATCTTAGCCAGATCAGAGAAATTTGTAATGTACAACAGGTGAGACAATTTGTGCTGTTAAACATTAGTCACAAGCTTTTTCACTCACTCCCACCTTTTTTGTTAAAAATCAAACAACTAAACAGGACCACAGATGCCTGTATTAAAAATGTGTTGTTTAAATCAATTTAGTATTTTTGCCTTGAGTATTCAACCCAGACAACCCAGGCTACATTCGCATTGTGGTAACTGCTGAACATTCCTCCTCGGTCTGGCGTTGTACCTTAAGGTCGTACTTGCGGTGCACGGTGAGTCTGTGGCTGAACATGTTCCTCATGACGAGCAGGTACGTGTCCTCGTTCTCCACGGACACTCGGTACATGGAGAGGAACTGAGGCAGCAGCGTGGAGCCATGGAACAGGACCACATGCTGAAGAAGAACACCACAACACCTAGCATTTATTTAAAGGGCTCATATTACACTGTTTTCTGATCTATGTTCTTATGTAGTTTCCTCATCACAAACAAACCTGGAGTTGTGTTTTGTTTCATTCACACACATTTAACACACAAACCCTGCACATTTATTTTATATTTATTATTTTTAATGAACAGTGCACACTGACTTCCTGCTTAGGCTTCCTCTCATCTTGCCACATGTTTCTACATGTACTTGTCTGTTGGAACTGCTAAAAGTAGAAGTTGAAGTACTTTTAAATATTGCTTATTTATCATCGTTTTTTTCTCTCTTAATCACTGGGCCTTGAGGATCACATTTCATTCTGTTCTGTGTGTCTGTCACATGCTTGAATGACAAATAAAGAACCTTGAAACTTGAACCTTGAAACTCCATACACCTTCACTAGAATCAATTGAATAATTTCAGCTCTGGAATTGCTCATCTCTACTGAAAAGGTAAAAGGTTGCTGTTAACTTGAAAACTACCACTGAAAGACATCACTCGGCGGAACAGTGGAACATTTTACACCATATGCGGCAGCAAATGTGACAGAAGACCTTCCATAGGAAACACTTGGAGGGAAATCACCAACCGAAACACCAGAGCAAAGAAAGAATGAGACCTTTCCTGTTGTGTGGTGCCCCCTGGAGGCTGTTGTGATGCTGCAGGACACAGAGGAGAGACACTTACGGCTCTTCCTGTCCTCAAACTGCCCTGACACACATCTGCTGACCCTCCCTGACCAGTCCTCCTGTGAAACTGGACTGAGACCTTTGACTGAGACACATGATTTGAATGGCGTTCTGTGCAGTCAGTCTCCCAGTCATTGTCTAAACATGGAATAGACAAAAACGTAATTTTGATTCGTTTGTATGTTTTGTACATTTGAAGACATTGACATTAAAGCTAATTTTGAACTTTGAACAGAGGATTCTGAGCTTTGGAGCTATGTATACTGATATACACTACTGGTCAAAAGTTTTAGAACACCACACTTTTTATAGTTTTTTACTGTTGACCAAAACATGTTCTAAACCTCTGATTCATGCAACACTGAGCTGAACACACTTGTGGATTGTTCTTTTTACAATAGAAATCAAATATTGTTCAGAAATTTCTTCCCAAGTCTGTTGCAGAAGTTTCCATAAATGTGTGGCACTTGTAGGTTGCTTCACTCTTCTGTCCAGTTCATCCCAAACCAGATCGAGGGGGTTTAAGTCTGGACACTGTGCTGGACACTCCAGGTTTTCAAGCTTTACCATCTTGTTCTATTTTCCTGAAATAGTTTTGGCAGAGCTTGGACTTGTGTTTTGTATCTTTTATATTTTTTTAACTTTTGTCTGTTCAGTTTTTACTTTTGTATCATTTCAAGCTCTTCACTGGACTTGCATGACTTGAATTGCAATAAATAACTGGAAAAATGAGGGTGTTCTAAAACTTTTGACCGGTAGTGTAGGTACTTCTCATGTGTAGATTAGACCATAACATAGCTTGCCACCACCAAGTACTGAGTTAATAATAAATAATGACAAACACCATTTTTACTTTTAACTGCTACTTGAATACCGTATTTTCTGCACTATAGGGCGCACTTAAAAGCCTTTAATTTAATCAAAATACAACTGTGCCCCTTATAATCCAGAGCGCCCTATATATGAATTTATTGAGGTGTCTTACTACGACTTTAGTAAATTACAAAGCCGCACCACTTGCAGCATTACGGCTCCCGTAGTCAGCAGTAATACATACTCTGATTCCTTTTAATATCAAAATGCACCTGTCAAGAGACACACAACGCCCACTTTAAACTCAAGACAATTATAAAGTGAAAGTGTGAGCTGTGTGGGAGCAGTGGATGAGAGAAGGAGAACACACATTCACCAAGACAGGGAGACAGCGCCGAGCGACTTATGCCACGATCTGCCAACGGATCGTGGACGCCTGGGCTAAGGATCAGTATCAACTGTGGTCCGAGCTCTCACCAAGACCAGAATCATCACTGAACTGCCAGGGAACAGTAACCGCACTGACTCGGATAATGATGAGAGGGATGTGGGCGTGCTGGACGCAGGAATCACCCAACTGTTTGAACAATTATGAGTTATTGTCAGTACTCTAACAATTTAGCGTCTCAGACAGTATTTTTTTTTTTTATGCGTTACAATTGAATATAGTTGAGAGTTATTGTGAACACGTTAAATAAAATTTGACTGACTTATCTAACTGTTGTGTTTTGTTTAATGTGCCTTATAATCCGGTGTGGTTTATATGTGAAAAAAGTTCAAAAATAGACCATTCAATGGCAGCGCACCTTATAATCCAAAGTACCCTATAGTGCGCAAAATATGGTAATATATTTTTTACAAAGTAACAGTACTTGAGTAAAAATTTTGGCTACTAAGTCCACAAGTGATAAAAGCTTTATGTGGACAATCTGAAATGATTTGAACATTTGAGTTTCTTGCCGCTCCTTCATGTAAGATTGAATATTTATGGTGTATCATATAACGCAATTCTGTGCATTATTAAATATTACGCCCTTCCAATTCCAATAACTTTAAATTCAAAATCAGATGTTACGTCCAGACAGTTACTCTTACTTGAGAAGTAGTTTCTCCAGATACCTTCATAATTTAGTGAAATGGACCACTACTTTATAAATGGACCAGTACTTTATAAGCCACAGTATATAACTTTTGTAATGGGGCGTCTGCCAACTGCTTGAAATGTGTGCCTGAAATATTTCATTGCATTAAAGAGGACATATTTCACTTCTATGAGCTATTGACTGCGAACACATCACACCTTTACATCACCGTGTCACCTTTTATTGTTCTGAAAGGGATTTATTTACAAAATGCTTCTTTAACCTTAACCGGTGATTTCAAACATGCATCTTGTGACTGTGGGACTGTTATTCATGGACGCCATTTTGAGGACTTTTTCAGGTTTCAGATGTACAATGTTGATTTTTTTCTCATAGTACAGAAAAGTGTGTGGAAAAACGAGGGTGTAAGTGATAAATGAACACGTCTTTTATCTGGTGCTTTTGTCGAGTTTGATCTCCTCCTGTGAGTCACTGTTTATCAAACTACAACTGTCTCCATGGCCACAGCCTCGGTGAGTCACACGAGAGAGAGACAGGAGAGACAGACAGGGAAGAGACGAGAGGAAGAGAGAGAGAAGAAGAAGAGAGAGAGGAGAGGAAGAGAGAGAGGAGAGGAAGAGAGAGAGAAGGAGTTAAGAGAAAGAGAGAGAAGAGAAAGAGAGAGGAGGAAGAGAGAGAAGAGGAAGAGAAAGAGGAGGAAGAGAGAGAAGAGTTAGAGAGTGAGGAGGAAAAGAGAGAAGAGGAAGAGAGAGATAGTAGGAATAGAGAGAAAAGAGGAAGACAGAGAGGAGAGGAAGAGGAGGAAGGGAGAGGAGAGGAAAAAGCGAGGAGGAAAGAGAAGAGGAAAAAGAGGAGAAGAAAAGAGGAAGACAGAGAGAAGAGGAAGAGAGAAAGAAGAGGAAGAGAGAGAGCGAAGAGGAGGGGAGAAGAGGAAGAGAGAGAGAAGAGGAAAGAGAGAGAGTGAGAAAGATAGTGACCAAAGGAGAGGGCAAATAGAGAAAAATCTGATAAAAAGAGAGGGAGAAACAGAGAGAGACAGAGAAAGAGGAGAGGAGAGTGTTTGGAGGAGGAGGAGTATGTAGGTCGCAGACTCTTAAAGAGTGGATGAAGCAGCTGTGTGGGAGATGGGACATGTTTATGATGCCAGTCTTATGTAAAGAGCGTTCTGCTCCTTTAATCAAAGGATAAAACAGAATTTGAATTAGAACATCGTCTGAATGACATTTAACATGAAGATCTAAAGAAACCCAAATCATAACTCATAGACTGAGGACTCAAAGTCCTCTCCCTGATTGTTTTCCATCTATTTGCACTGATATATTGTACAAGTCCATTGTGTAATGTTGGCATCTAATTATAAATCGTTTTATTGTCTGAGCATCAGGAAGTGCGCGGCTTACATGCTGATTTAAAGTTGTGAAAAGTGCTTATAAACTCATCGTGGTGAATAATTTGGATGCTCAAAATAAAGTTAATATACTGTAAGTGAGGCATAACTTTGGACCACTGCAAACTGTTTAAACATTTTAAAGTTCTATTTTGAACAAGTTTTAAGGTACCGTTCCTTTAATTTGTGGCTAAAGCCATGATTAAAGTGTCACTAGATTAGAACATAACACATCTTAAGACCACCAAGTATTGAGCTGAGTAATGACTATGCAAACGCTACTCTTACTTTTACTCATACATGAATAAAATGTTTTTACAGTTAAAGTTGTGGTTACCTTCCCTCCGTGAGTAAATCTACAAGTGACAAAAGCTTTCTGTTGACTATTTTACAATATGAAATGGGAAACTGGGCTGGGTTCTGGTAGCCAGGTTGGCGCCACCTAGTGCCGCTCAATTTCATTTCTCTCCAGCAACTAGGTCAGGACTCAGAATACACTAGACGGTTTGCAAGAACACCGGAAGTGCAAGTTCAGGCACCAGCCAATCAGTGAAGAGCCATACATTCTGTGTTGGCAACGATTCCCGAGATCGAGGATTTAAAGTCGAAACAAAGAGAATGTTTGGTGAATTTTATCAAGGGAAAAGACGTTATTGCTGTTCTTCCTGTGGGATTTGGGAAAAGCTTAATACACAAGTTAGCCCCGTTAGCGGCGCATTACATACATCACGACTAAATAGCAGCAATTGGTTAAATAAAAAAAGTACCCGCCTACTGTCGAGCGAAGGAATTCCTAATGCTGTGAGGTCGGACGGTTTCTACAAAGTGAACCCGGCTGATGAATCAGTCTAGGATTCTGGGGCTGGGCGGTGCCTTTCTGTGTAGAGTTTGCATGCTCTCCCTGTGCCTGTGTAGGTTTCCTCTGGTTTCTCCTGCCACTAACAACATGAACTATAGGACTCCCCTGAAAAGGAAGATTAAAAAGACTATCCTGGTTAAATAAAGCTCAATACTGTAAATGATTTGAACATTTTGTAGTTTTTGCACCGTTCCTTCATGTAAGATTGAATATTTACGGTGTATAATATAAAAAAATTATGTAATTTTGCGCATTATTGAATATGATGCCCTTCCAATTCCAATAACATTAAATTAAAAATGAGAATCAGACAGTTACTATTGAGTTGTAGTTTCCCCAGATACTTTCATAATTTATTGAAATTGACCACTACTTCTACTTCTATTTGAGCAATATTATTTTGAATTATAAATCTAATCTTACATACAAAAGGAAGTGGGAGGAGAGAGAGAGAAACAGAGAGAGTGTGAGAAGGAGCGGGAGAAAGAGAGAAGATAGAAGACGGGAGAGTGATGAGACAAAGAGGGAAAGAGAGAGAAAGAAACAGTTGGAAAAAAGCATAGAGTTGAAAGAAAAAGATAGAGAGGGAGTGAGAAACACAGTGACCAAAGAAGAGAGATATACAGAAAAAGAAGATAAAAGCGAGGGAGAAACAGAGAGAAGAGAAAGAAAGAGAAGAGGAAGAGAGAGAGAGGTGGAAGACAGAGAGAAGAGGAAAGAGAGAAAAGAGTAAGACAGAGAGAAGAGGAAGAGAAAAGGAAAGGAGAGGAGGAAGAGAGAGAAGAGGAAGAGAAGGAGAAAAGGAAGGGAGAGAGAGAAGAGAAGAGAGAGAAGAAGCAAGAGAAAAGAGGAAGAGAGAAAGTGAGAGAAGAGGAAAAGAAAGAGAAAAGGAAGGGTGAGAGAGGAGGAAGAGAGAGAAGGTGAAGAGAGCAAGAAGAGGAAAGAGAGAAGAGAAAGCAAGAGAAAAGAAGAAGGGAGAGAAAAGAGGAAAGAGAGAAAAGAGTAAGACAGAGAGAAGAGGAGGAGAGAGAAGAGGAAGAGAAGAGAGAGAAGAGAAGAGAGAGAGAGAGAGAGAGAGAGAGAGAGAGAGAGAGAGAAGAGAGAGAGAAGAGAAGAGAGAGAGAAGAGAGAAGAGAGAAGAGAGAGAGAGAAAGAGAAAAGAGAGAGAGAGAAAGTGAAGAGAGAGAAGAGAAAGAGAAAAGGAAGGGTGAGAGAGGAGGAAGAGAGAGAAGATGAAGAGAGAGAGAGAGAGAGAAGAGAGAGAGAGAGAGAGAGAGAAGAGGAAAGAGAGAGAAGAGATACATTCATAATTTATTGAAATTGACCACTACTTCTACTTCTATTTGAGTCATATTATTTTGAGTTATAAATGCAGTCTTACAATGTTTATGTGATTACACTTAGATTTGCAATTTATATTTTAATAATCGGCTTCTGTTCAAACATCACATGTAAACACATCTTTGACAAAAACTATACAATACAAGGATCACATCTCAGAACATGTTTGCACAGATCGAAGCAGTTTTTACGCAGAATAAGACAGGAGATGTTGTCTGTGGAGGAAATTATGGTACTTAATAAATTGCAGGTTTTCAAAATTCCTAATTGTGTCCATTAAAATTTCGAGTCCCTATAGGAGTTTTACCTGGTGGTACTCGGACAGAATATTGTGCACCTCCTCCACCTCTTCACTGGAGATTTCTTTGACCACCAGCGTGCGGTCAAACGAGGTGAGCAGCAAACCTCCACCCTGACCCTCCTCCACTTTGTGAGGAGCGCTGCGGGCTAGAGACACCTGGTGGACAACAGCAGAATTACAACATGAAAACTTTAATTTAGGAAGAGAGAAGGGCTGTCAAAAGTATCAAAAAAATCTGATACTAATTGATAAAACTAGTATTGAAACTAGATACTCATTTGAGCATATACTATACTAAAAAAGTCTCATTCGCAGGACAGAAATAAACTTTTCCTGAATAGTTTAAGAACAGGGATCTCCAACCTTTTGTGTCCAGTGAGCTCTTTACAAAATGAAAATGCCGGAGAGCAACTCGGTCCGTGTACCATTTGTTCTTTTGAATTTCAATTTAGAATGAAAAACAATAAAATGTGAAAAGAGTTTGTTATTTCATATTATGTTTTAGTGTAAAAAAAACTAAAAACAGATTTGGTTTATTTGAAGTTTTGCTGCTAAGTGTGTGTGAATTCAATGTCAACTGAACAAAGGAAAGTTTAGCGCTGCTTCCTGTTTCTCATCATGTAGTTCAACAATTACTTTCTGAGATTTTTTGATTTTTCAGGTAAGTCCAGAGAGAGTAAAATATCAAAACTGAAATAGGCATGATGACTGTTTCTTGATTTGTGTTATTTGAAATAAACTTTAAGTTAAATATTGGAAATAGAGGTCAAAATCAGTTGTTTTTTTTGTTTGACACTAAAATGTAACAATGAAACAACAAACTGTTTTCCCATTTTATTGTTTTTTGTTCTTAATTGAAATTCAAAAGAACAAATGGTACACAGACCCTGATCAGTTTAGCAATCACAAGAAATTGAGTGGATATAAGAGGGTAAACCTTAAATATTGTACAGTTAGATGCCTATAAAACACTAAACCATTACCCATTTATTAGTGCATAAACTTCAAAATAATACATTTACAATGGTAATATAATTCATAAGTCTTTTGGCGAGCTACTTGTAAGGTCGTGGAGAGCTACTGGTAGCTCCAGAGCTACAGGTTGGTGACCCCTGATTTAGAATGATGTTGAACTGTATGAGAACAAGTATAAGAGCACATAGACTAGTGTACATCCATGGACCATTATGAACCTACTGGACCACTGAGGGATTACACACATGGGAATAGAAAAGAAAGTACTATGTGTTATTGTTGAAAATCACATTCTATAGTCTAAAGAGTGTTTTAAATTTTCATTGTTGTATCAGAATCGGTGTTGAGTACCGTATTTTTCGGACTACAAGTCACAGTTTTTTTCAGGGTTTGGGTGTTTCCTGTGACTTAAACTCCGGTGCGACTTATATGTTAAAATCTTTACACTGAAGCCACGAGAGGCTCTAGGCTCGTGTACTCCTGTACCACTGTCACTTCGCACTCTACTGCACATGTTGACTGCACAAGAAAGAGAAAGAGCCTCTGTCCTGTCTGTATCATGTCAGTCGATCACACCATTACTTCTGCACCACTGAACAATTTAACATTTAAACAAACATAAAGACAACAGAAACCATCCTGTCGGGATTCAGAAAGGCCCCGAATAATTCTAACTGGAACTGATGCTGAGTCTAACGACAGCGACAGGATGAAGAATTGAATGGATTTAGTGATTTGGAGTGAGATGGAGAGTTTGGTAAACTTGTTCTGTTCTGTTGTTTATGTTATAGTTATCTAAAGAACTGTTCATATGTGACGTTAACATGCGACTTATATATGTTTTTTCTTCTTAATTACGCATTTTTTGGCTGGTGCAACTTATACTCCGGAGCAACTTATCCAAAAAAATACAGTAATATCAAAATCCTGTTTGAAATTTCCGTATCATCACAACACTAGAAGAGAGAGATGCTGCTTTTGTGATGGGAGAAAAGACTTTTACAACATTTGGATCACAGCCAGGACGATTAACTGCAGCCTATAACAAAACAGGGACGAGGGACGTACGTAGTAAACTGGGCCAAATCAACCATCACAAGATACTCCCACATTAAAATGAAGTTTATTGTTTAGAGGAGCAGTTTGGGATTACTAGCAAATACATTTAGTTATGTTATGTCTTATTATAAAAGGGGGCAGAGGAGGCCTGTCATAATTACTAAACTGACTTCTTTTTCAATGCGCAATACATGGAACAATATAATTTAGAGCTCATTTGTACTTTTTTTTGCATAATAATGCTTATACAATGCTTTTCCTCACGCTCAAAGTTTAACTATTTACAAACTTCAGTGTGTTATTTCTTTTGCGTTATTGGTGCATTATTCATTCACTCCATACCCGGTGGTGGCAAAATCTATTCATGTTGACATCACAAACCAGGAAGATGTTTGGAATCATGCAATTCGCACCGGACTATAAGTTGCACTTTTGGGGGGAAATCTATTTTATAAAATCAGAGACCAGGAACTGACATTTCATGTTGAAAGTCAAGTTCTAGTAATAACAAAAGAAGAGAGAACAACAGACTGTTAACGTCACATATGAACAGTTCTTCAGATAACTATAACATAAACAACAGAACAGAACAAGTTTACCAAACTCTCCATCTCACTCCAAATCACTAAATCCATTGAAAAGTGTTCTGTGTAGCTGTCGTCAGACTCAGCATCAGTTCCACTTAGAATTATTTGGGCCTTTCTGAATACCGAAAGGATGGTTTCGGTGTCAGTGAAGTCCAGGCTTTGTCCATCCATCCAGTGACTTCAGGAAAGTTTCATGGTGCCACAAGCTTCTCACTCATTGCAAACTTTCTTTTTGCTGCTCAATTACCGTTTTGAGCTGAAGATTTTACAAGAACTACTACAAGAACTTTGGTGTGTGTTTTCTGTTTCATTTTATTATCAAATGCTATCAGATTTTTCATAATTTCATTGATTGATTGATTTCGATCACAGGTATATTCAACATTATATACTTTATACTTTTTTACTTTTGACAACCCTAACCCGATCCTAACGTAAGACTTAATAAAGAAAATCATGTCCATTTTGCTTTCCAAAAACAGTACACTTCTGTAAAAAGACCTGATATAGTCCTGGTTTCCTGGTTTAGACCTGATATAGTTCTGGTTTAAACCTGGTTTAGATCAGATTGGTCCAAAAAGGGACATGCACAGACCGGAAAGGTGTAAGCTGAATCTTGAGTTTATTATGCCCACCCTCTGTTGCTCTGTCAGTTCATCTTGAAACCAGTTCATCTTCATTACCCAAGTGTAACGTGGGACTAAATAAGAAAAATCATGTCCATTTTACTTTCCAAAACACTTCTGTAAAAAGACTTGATATAGTCCTGGTTTCCTGGTTTAGACCTGATACTGTATATTCATAAATATAAATCATCTCATTTTTTATTTCCAAAAACAGTGCACTTCTGTAAAATGGAGAAGTGTGTGTTGTTGCGATATATAATGTATACTGCATTTTCTTGCAATAACAATTATTGCCTTAGAGCGATACTGTAATTTTTGCGATGTATTGCGCAGCTCCAGACTATAGTGTTGTTTTTTATTGTGTTTTTGTACCTGGAAATCCTGGTCCTCGATGCCAAAGTGCTCGCGCAGATTCCTGAACACCTGGGGGCAGTATTCTTTAAACTTGAACTGTCCTGGGAGGTTTTCTCTGAGGAAAAGATTGACAATAACAATAACAGGAATCAGAATGTAAGATTTGAAACATGTTAGTGTATAAATTAAAAAGAGGACATGTTTAGCAATTAAAGATGCACTGTGCTAGCCTGATTCATCAACTTCGTGGAAACTGTCTGACCTCACAGCATTAGGATTCGTTCGCTCGACGGTAGGCGGGAACTTTTTTTATTTAACCAATCACTTCTGTTTGTTTGTGACGTATGTAATCCACCGGAACGCTCAGTGGTGTTCAAGTAACTGCCGGCACAACAGAAAATAAAGCAGAGAGTGAACATGTCTGTCAACGGTCAGTCATTTCTATGAGGTGAACTTGCAAATTAAAGATGCAATAAAAAATGCTAAGTTTGTATTTGACAAAGGAAGTTCAAAGGAGTATAGTGTATGCAGTCTGCTATCGCAACTCGGGTTGGATCAGCACTTCACTGATGACTCTTCTGATGACTGTATTCTGATTCCTGACCTAGGTGCTGGAAAGAAATTGAAATTTAATGGAGGCACTAGGTGGCGCCAGCCTGGTTAACATTACGCACCTTTTCTGTGGGATTTACCACCTGCTTGTATCCACAGAAATGTTACTGCTTTGCCTGGAATGTTGAACAAAATGGCACTGGCGTATGACACTTATCCATCTTGCATTTATTCAGCTTTCAGATGTTTTTCAGAATGTTTGTACAGATCTAAACTACAGTTTTAGTTTAATTTTGTATGCAGAATAAGAAGATATTGTGGTTTGTTGAGGAAATTATTATTATGGTACTTCAAAAATGTCAGCTGATTGCGTCCATTCAAATTGTGATTTCCATTCAGCACTGACTCATCTTGCAGCCCTACCTAAAATACATACGCAAAATTTACTCTTGTGAGCTTTAAGCCATGTTATAATGGTGTTACCTCCTCAAAAACAGATTCGGAATTGTGTTTCTTCACTCATGCATGTTTGATAAACCTTTTATTATTAGTCTGTAACATCACCAGATCTCAGAAGCAGTGGTTTTCAAGTGAACAGCTCCTTTTACCTTTTGTTCAGTAGAGATTGGCAATTCCAGGTCTGAAATTATCCGTAATAAACCATTTCTAGTGAGAACTTCCTGTATTAAAAATGGAGACCTAAGAAAACCTGTAGCTACTCATTTTAAAGAAGCGCAGTGCCACATGTCTTCCTTTAAATATTTTGGGATAGAGCAGGGGAAGCTCCCAAGAAGAGGAGAGGATATTAACAGGCTGCTCCTACAAACAGAAAGTTCTTATATTTATTCCTAAAAGTGGCCTGAATCAAAAATATGAAATTAAACACTTCTTATAATGTTATATTTAATTTTCAGGTAATTGAATTGCCCATTGATGACATAAGATTGAAGGACTTGGGTAATGGCTCATGTTATATGATGTACGGTGTATATTGTGTTATATATTGTGATGTGTGGACATTTATATGGGAGTGGCACACAGAGAACTATGACTTGATGAAGATCCACGTTGTCATTCATTAAAAGCAGTTTGGGAGTAAGTGTGGGTCTGTGCACCATTTGTTCTTTTGAATTTCAATTAAGAACGAAAAACAATAAAATGTTATTTCATTATTCCGCTTTAGTGTCAAACAAAAAAACAGATTTCAACCTCTATTTCCAATATTTAATTTAAAGTTAATTTCAAATAACACCATCATAGTGCCTATTTTAAGTTTGATATTTTATTCTCTTTGGTTTATTTGCCCCAGAAGTTCTGCTGCTTAGCGTGCTGTGTTTGAATTCAGTATCAGCTATAGATCTTTAATAAAAACTATTTTTATCATAGTTCTATGGAGTCAACAGAACAAAGTTTATCGCCTCGCTGCTTCCTGTTTCTTGTCACGGAGTTCAGCAATGACTTTCTAAGACGCAAAAGTAATCACAGCGCTATAAAAGAAGACAACATGTTTGTCCACAAAATTGCAACAAATTTTCAGGTAAATCCTTCTAGCAGTAGAACTTCCAGGGCATAAATCAGAGATGATAAAATATCAATATTGAAATAGGCACGATGACTGTTTTTTTGATTTGTGTTATTTGAAATAAATATTGGAAATAGAGGTCAAAATCTGTTTGTTTATGACAATAAAATGGAAAAATTTAATAACAAACTGTTTTCCAATTTTACTGTTTATCATTCTTAAATAAAATTCAAAAGAACGAATGGTACACGGACCAGTGTGCAGGTATGTTCACTGCAGTGGCCTTGCAGCAGTGATGTGCGTATACCGAGACCTTTTATGATACACTTCCTGTATTACCACATGACATCACAAGGTGGAACAGAGTGTTTTCTGTTTGACAGAACAACTCATCCTACTGTATATATGCATGGTTTGTGTGTTAAACATGTGTGAATGGAACAAAACACAATTCCAGGTGTGTTTGTGGTAACAGATCAGAAGATTGCGTCATATCAGCCCTTTAATTACTACATTTAAATGTTACATTTATGAGCGTTTGATTACAAGTGGAGTTTTGTTTAACACTTCTACGGTAGCTCCACTTGTCACACTTGAAAAACATAACTTATTGTTCTTTTCAGATGGGACTTTAGCCGGCCTGGATTCCTCACTGGATTATAGGATTACTGAAGGAACCCAGGCACCGCTATATACTGGACATTTAAAGGTGCACTATGGAACTATAATTTCATCTTAAATTAACTAAAATTAAGTGGAAAAATAAAACACCTCTGCGTGTTGTTTAGCTAAATCAGGATAACCCTACAAAGTGTTATCCGTTTACTCTCAAAATGTTAATATAATTCTTGATTTCGGGGTTAAACAGGAACGTTGGTCCAGTGTTACTTAATTAACATTTCCAAAAATGTTTAATTAACTCTAGAACAGATTGGACTCATATAAACCCTGAGAAAATGGTCAAATTGATTCTGTGAGAGTCAATTTTAACACTGAACAAAAGGTAAAGGGTAGCTGTTAACTTGAAAACTACAACTTCATGACATCACAAGGTGGAACAGAGAATTTTGAGCTTTGGAAATGCAGATCCAGGTCTGTTTCTGAGGAGGTAACAACATTCTAACACGGCTTAAATCTTTCAAGAGTTAGTTTTGAGTAATATGGAACCTTTAACATTAAAACTGTGCTATAAGAAAATGTAGTTAAAAGTGCACTGTGTAACTTATTGCTCGGAATGTTCCACAGTATGACATTAAAAAAGCTCTACCTTACATTTCGTCAATTACAGTACTGGTCTGGTTTGAAGTCCACAAAGATAGAAAGGTTTATAATGCCATACTGTGAAAAATTCCAGACAAAGCAATAACATCTCCATGGAGAAAAGCATTTGATGGACCCTCCACACGAGAAAAGTTACACAATGCACTTTTAATTCGTCTCTACTTAATGAATCGCTCAGGATTTAGCTACAAACCGCAATCCCCCGCATATTCACTGGCAATACTAATTCCCACAGGCCAGGCAAGTTCAATTATGATTTCTTTATCTCCTTTGCTATTGTCCCTGTAATAGCTTGACTTGGTAATGAGTAAAGCGCCATTCACTGCGCACAAAAGGTCGCTGTATTTTTGTAGATAAGCAACATTTTCTCAAAGTAAAGAAGCAGACTGGCGTGGAGAATGAAATAATAATAAGACGGAAATTACTTGTTGAAAAAGTGGTTGGTGACTTTTATCTTCGTATTCGCTTTGAAATCGTCTGGAAGCAGCATCACAGGTGAAGGGACATGGCACAAATCGGTCATCTGCGTAAAACAACGATTAAAAAAAGTGAGTTCAAGTTAATAATATGACAAAAATAGTGGTTAAGTTTCAGTATTTCTCACGTACCTACCGAATGATTGACACCCCACATTAGTACACTCAAAACGGGATCGCTAGCTCGGAAAACTTCCACTTTTTGTTGGACGAAGTGTTTCTTTTTCGTCTTTCGTTTCGGCGCCAAAGATGTGAGCGGGTTGGAGGAGGCGGCGCCGGGAGAAGACATGGTGAGAGTCCCGGAGGAGAGTGGAGGTATGCGGGGACAGGGGAGCCGGTGTGGATGGTGGATGGAGGATTTGTTTGGTCACCTGCTCCCGGGCAAGTGCAGTGAAATCCGGCCAGAGCTCCTCCTGCAACACGTGCGTAAAAGTGCAAGGATTTACATAAAGGCCAAATAAGGAAATAAATACTACTACTATTACTACTGAGCTGTTACTACGATGACTACTACTACTGCTACTACAACAACAACTACTACTACTACTACTACTACTACTACTACTACTGCTGCTGCTACTGCTAGCTAGTGACCAGATTTTCAAAATAAAAAACTGGAACATTCTATGGAAGATAATTAATCAATAAAAAATCCATTAGATTTTTAATTTTAAATACCGCTTGATTTTTTTTTTACTCTGAAAACATATGTCAATATGTTTAAAAAAAAAAAAAAAAAAAAAAAAAATCGCCTTTTAAATATTCAGCACAGATATTTTCGAGCACAGATATTTTCAAGCCCTCATATTATTTTTTTACAGTTTGAATTTTATCTGTTGAATCTAAGGGTTTGGAAATATTTCTGCTGAATATTTATTTATTTTATCTTTAATTGAATTTTAAACACTTTGAAAATGTACACATATAATTACATCAGCTGACATTGAGAAAACATTCAAAACACAACGGTTTTTCAGAGTAAAAAAAAATCTAAGTGAGAAATTCAGCAGCATTTAAAATTCTAAATCTGAGTAAACAAATTATCTTCCATACATCCTTGGTTTGGTTGGTAATAATAAAATTGTAAGAGTGCATAAATAAGGAAAATTGTTATTTACTCTACACTAATGTGAGTCAGTATAATCATATTTTCTTTGTGTTTTTGGTCATTTTCAAGCAGCTTTTTAAATTTTCTTTTACCTAAACACTAACTCTTTACTGTTGGCTGTTGGTATCAGATTGGTCAAAAATAGAGACACCTGGGACATTCCTTGTATAAAACTGGGACAAATCACTGGTTTTGTATAAATCTGATGGGACAGGGGACACAGGGCTCAAAACTGGGTCTGTCCCAAGTAAATAGGGACTTCTGGTCACCTTAAGCTACTACCAGTACTACTAATTTACTAGCCTACTACAATAGCTACTGCTACTATACATAACATACAAACAAACAAGCACAAATCTAAGCAAATAACAGAAATATCAAGTTAAACCTATTCATAAAATAATAAAGTAAAATTATGTTTACAGCAAATGCACCCTTTAGAATGTGGTTTTAAATAAGCTTTAAAAATGGAGAATAATGGATCTGTGACAGTACAGGTACCTGCAGTTTTCATTTAAAAGTCTAATCAACTTTATTAGACCATAAAAAAAAGAGAAGTGTACTATTTCCTATTTTCTTTATTAATTGGAATGGTAAATTGCATTAAGTGTCCCAGATAATCAAACAAGGTGCATATAACATTATTAAATTTCTAAGAAAATGTTGGTGAAGGCATAAAAAAGACAAAAAGTTCTGCCATTCATTTCACTTTTATCCTCTCAAGTGTTTTTGATCTAGTTAGAAAAAATGTTAAGATTTCTAGAATGGTATAATAAGTCTATATAGGTGACTGGAAAGTTCTAACAAAATGTTGTCCAAGTTAAATTTTCAAAAAGTGTCCCAGATTATCCAAATTCACCCTTCATAACATACATTGTTTCTTATTTTTGTCAACTGCTTAAGACCAAATATGTGACACCCATGGTAATAGTGGGTGGCAACAGTGGTACAGCCAAAGCGTGTCCAGTAGGTGGCGCTATTTAACACGTCATAATCACAGGTGAGCAGGGTTTGAAGAATATTGGGTGAGTCAGACTTGGCACTGCCTTTGGTTACATGCAAATCAGATTATGGTCACATTATTGAAATGAAATGAAACTGATATGGACAATCACTGACACACACACTGACACACACACTGACACACACACTGACACACCTATACGTAAGAAAGAAAATCAGCAAGAATTGACATTTTAAACCAAATGCAAAAAGTAAGAATTTATTGAATATTACAAAATGAGTATTTGACTTATGATATAAATAGACACTTACAGGATAAATAATATAAAAGCATAAAAAAGATAAATATGACCAAATATATTATTCACTGTACATCGTCATAACAACACATGATGCAAAACAAGAATTCTACGCAGTACATCCGATACAAAATGCCCAAATATGAATTTAACTGGTACTTTGTGTGTAGTATTTTGTTCTGAATTTGTATTATAAGATTTTGATATGAATAGTGCTTGAGCTATGTTGTTAGATACTCCCATGTCCATGTGGCAGGGTTTCAGATGACATCACAATATTCCATAGATCAGTGATATTGAACACAGATGGGGTCAGCTCAAATCAATACTGTTAACATGCAGATTTCTGTGGTTATAGCAAGTTCTTGGGTCTTCTCATGAATAGAAATGATCAGGTTCAGCGTTTGTGAATTTACCTTTTGGATATTTAATTGAAGAGTACAATATAATCAATAGGGATAACAGTCTTTTGTTTCCATCTGAGTATGACATCATTGCAGTCACATTAGGCTGTTGTGTTGTTCCTTCATCTTCAGAACATGTTTTAAGTGTCTCTGTGTTCCGTCTCTTTAACAGTTCGAGTTGACTGGTGCCCCTTTCGGATCCACACACCAACACTGGCCCCTCTGCGTCCCTCTGGACGACCGGCACTGCACACAACACATTTACACACTTACAGCAGGGATTTAAAGTTAACTGTATAACCTTACCGCTAGAGGTTCCACCACGTGTTTGTATCTATGGACACGTTATTGCTTTGGGCTCAAATGTTCTACTATAGTAATGCAATAAACTGATATATCTCCATGGAGACAGCACCAGGCCAAGTCAGATCATAGGTTATGCTGGGCGTACACTGTGCAATATTTTCAGTCATGTCACTCTGCCCCAGCATAAACTGTATGACCAAAGCGCAGGGTTTAAAAGTTCACAGCTCACGAATCATGTTCTCACACTGTACGAACCGATGCTTGGATGTGCACACTGTACGTTCACGTAACAACCAGAGTTGTTGTTCCAGAAGTAGAAAACCACAGAATTAGAAAACTAGACACAATGCTGATCCAGGCAAAAAAGACACGCTGCCTTGGCAATTTGTGCCATTCTCTGCGCAGACAAGCCCAAAAAGAACAGGCGACGAATCTGGTCAAAGAAATGGCTGTGCAGACGTGGGCAGTACGGGTTGTCAGTTCTTCAGAAAGAACTGGAGGTAAGTAGCATCAAGTTTTTCACCAAAATTCTGTTCTGTGTTGCTCGATTAGCTGCGCCTCCATGTCCTGTGTCCAAAACACTCGCCGGCCCAACATCGTCCTCCACACCCTCATATCCTGCTTCCACTTCTGTGTCCGCACATGCTCAGTCTGGCAGATTCTGGCAAATCGACTCGTGGAACGAGCAGAGCGAAACCCTCACGAGAGGCGACCGGATTTCAAACAATTTTGATATTCTTGCAATTCGAATGCCGACCGGGAGCTGGTCGTGAGGTATAAATCGGTTTTCTTTACCCCATGTAAACTACACGAAGCACGACATATGATGAAGCCAAAACTCGTCCCGATCCCCAAAATAGTCGCACAAGTGAAAAATCGGCTCAAAAAGGGTAAAAAATCGCACAGTGTACGTCCGGCTTTAGGTTAGGTTTGGTTGCTTTATTCGTACACTTAGGTAAATTTGTTTTGCAGATTTGAGAGTCTGGTCCCACATTTCACATTTCATTCATCCACATTATGTACAATAAACATGTATATAAAACACAATTACAAAATAAAGTGTTTACAGAGCTCCAGTGCAGAATGGTTAGTTAGTTAAATTCATCCATCACGCTTGGCTAAAATCACAACAAATATGAAAGATTGTATGGAGGTTTTTTTTGTTTGTTTCAAATTGTCAATGAAAGTTCAAAATAGAATTATAGAAAAGCAGCAGCCTTGTAATTAATTAAAAAAAAAAAAAAGAATGAAAATCCATCAACTGTGGATGTTGTGGGGCCAGATAAACATCAGTCAATAGATAACAAGGCTACCTCTTTATCTATTGGCTGTTAGGTTGTCAATCAAACTCTACGTTTCTCGCGTCGCTGACTTGCCAACGCGCTGGTATTGTGCGGTTTATGTTCACGGTTCATGTTTAGCGGTTCTTGGTGTCTTTTTTGAACTGTAGCTTCCTCTCAGTTTGCACAAAGTTTTTTTTTAATGGCAGACAAGAATTCACGACCAGTTCGCCGCAAAAAAAAGTCAGTTTTTGACATCGCTGAAAGAAGAAGAGAAGGGGAAAAGGAGCGAAGCAAAACATTTAAAAAAGGACAAACAGTCGTTGCATTTCTCTTTCCTTGGAAAATCTTCTATACAACTTTTAAATATATAGTGTAGAGTGCAACAAGTAACAATAAGAATGCATGTTTTGTTTTTTTCAGTTCAAAGATTTGTGAAGAAGTCAGTGCTTAAGTTTAATGCTATACTGTGTAACATTTCAGGTAAAGCAATCACATCTCCATGGAGACAAGCAGGTGACAGAACAGAAAGGTTATGTAGTGCAACTTTCGTGACAACACTAATTGCAGTACTGCTACTCCAAATTGAATCAAAATTGCAATACTTGTCACAAAAGTTGCAATTAGAGCTGGTGTGTGTCCTGTACCTGTCTCCTCTTGTAGAAGCCGTGGCGGGTGCAGTTGGGCAGGTAGAGCCCCTCCTGAGGTGTGATCAGCTGAGGTCCCAGAGCGGAGAGCACAGAGTTTAAATGCTTACGACACGGAGCCTGTGGAGGTTCAGGTCAGGACAGAACTCATGATTTGATACAATCACGCTATAGACAAGAGGATTATAGCAGCTTTTATTACCTCTTCAGGGGCCGCTGTAGGAGTTGTGTCTGAGGAGAGAATGTAAACAAGTCGAGCATTAAAACAAGATTTATGATCAAACTGATACACTCAGAACCTAAGGAGAAACCAGGCTTTTTAACCTGGAAATCCCACATAGCAAAAACAAGTATTCATGCTTGCAAAACTGGGACTAAACTGTGACAAAACTGACAATGAAACCTGGACTAGATCAGGACTAACCCTGTACTAAACCAGGATAAAACCAGGACTAGACCAAGATCGAACCAAATCTACACAGGACTCAAACTGGCCCAAAACAGGACCAAGGACCAAGTGTGAATGCAGACTTGAAATAAGTCATCTTATGGTAGAAAGCTGTAAAAATGATGAAGTTATATGAAAAGAACCGGCCCATCTCTTATTGAGCACCTGAATTTGAAAATCTTTTTGAAAATCTGTTAATGATGGAGCCACACTTCACTCCTTAGGCTTTTTGTTCTCAGTAGTTCGTCTCATATTGTGCTTTTCCAGACACCCCAGACACTCAAAGATTCTTCATAACTGTATTCTTTCCCTTCACACTCAGTGGTGATACACTTCTACTTCAGCCACATGTGCCATGGGGCAGACTGAGAGAAGAGAGGCTATTATTCTGCCCTATAGGCGCCTCCTACCGTCGCTGAACTGCACTGGTATAGTCAAGAACAGAACAACAATAGTACCAGCACAAATCCATCATGTGGTGTAAAGTACTTTGTTTTTAAACCTAATTTAGAAACACCAATTGTAAAAATACTCACAATCTAGAATCAAGGTTTTTTTTTTTTTTCTAGCCCTAAGTCTGAGTTTCAGGTGAATGAAAACCACAGCGAAGCCTTACCTGTAGTGCGGGTTGATGTCGGTGCTTTGACAGTCTTCTTGGAGCTCCCACACGTCCCTCTTCCCTCCAGAAGAGCTCGCAGTGGTTTGGCCTCGTCCTTTGGTGCCTTACATTTTAAACCAGGAGCACATTTTAACGTATAGATTCCACACTGCTCTCCAGCTCCTAATGTCCCGTTCACGTCCACCGTTTTTGTCTTGGCTGGAGTCGTGTGGGCCGCTCTTTGGATGGAGAGGAGCGGGTGAAGTAGAAGTAGAGTAAAAATAGTTAAGCACCGCATGGTAACTTAAAAATACTAGTTTTGATGTAGTTTACTAGAGAGGAATTCTGAATAGTTTTAGTAGTAAGTAGTAACTGCAATTAGTTGTAGTCCAAAAGTGTGTAAAAGTAGTAGTAGTAGTAGTAGTAGCAGCAGCAGCAGTAGTAATAGTAATAGTCGTGGTAGTAGCTGTAGTAGTAGCAGCAACAGCAGTAGTTGTTGTAGATTCTTTTTAGTTTTTTGTATTTAAAATTGAAAAATGGATAGAGCAGTCTTCAGTCTTGAGCTGTATTTGATAGTAGTAGTAGTAGTAGTAGTAGCAGTAGTAGTAGTACTGGTTGTTGAAGTTATAAATTAGTCATTCCAAAAAAAAAAAAAAAAAAATCCAAGTCTTTCTTCAACAATTTGTTTGAAGTTACAGCTATAAAATATAAAAATAGAAGCTCCTCAAGTATTTAAAAAGTATTGCTCTTTAGTGGTTAATGTCCACTGTTATAAAATTAAAATATAATCTCCAAGAGTAAGTCTTGTAATCACAAACAAGAGCAGTAAAAACTGAAGTTGTAGTAGATACTTGTAGTCTAGTTTTTGTAGAAGTAAAACTAAAAGTAAAACTATTAGTAGTAGACGGATGTCATGGGAGTGGTAGTTGTAGTAAAAGTTGAAGTAGTAGTTGTAATGGTAATAGCAGTAGTAGTAGTAGTAGTAGTAGTAGCAGCAGTAGTAGTAGTAGTAGTAGTATTCCCCTCAAGTTTGCAGTACCAAATGGAGCAGTAGTCCACTTTGAGCATCTTTTAAAGTCTCTGCTGCTGTGGAATTGTGGGAGGTGGAGTTTTAATGCAACTTTCCCTTTAAGTGCTTTAAGTCCACTCCCTCTCTTCTCCCCACGGCTCATACCATGCTCCGTCTGTCATCTAATATCTTGTTTTCTACGCAAGCATAAATCAACACAATAGTACTCTGGCTTTTGTAATGTTAAGGTTTACATTCCATTAGTCAGAAGTTACAGTTAGTCAATTTTGTGTATGGTTTAGTGTTTAATTATGAATGCATATGCCAAAAGTCCACTCATTCATCAAAAACACAAGCTGTTAAACGACTTAAAGGTTCTATATTACACAGAATGGACTCTTGTGAGCTTGAAGCCATGTTAGAATGTTGTTATCTTCTAAACATACCCTGGAGTAGTACTTTATTTTCTTCCGTCATGTACTTAATCATGTACTTAATAGACTGTGACAAGCATTTCACATAAATCTATGACTTGAAGGGGTTTAGGCTGAAGTGAAATTATTTATGAATGCCTGACCTTGTTTACAGATGACGATACCAAGAATACAACTGTCAGCAAACAACAAAGAACAACTTAGATAGAAAAAAATACATACATACAATGATAATAATAACAGTACTCATGAGTTCAGCACAGCGGTTCTTTTGAGTAAACTCTATTCCACTTTCTACACTTAAAAAAACTTTTTCTTCACAATCTTCAACATTTATCTTGTACACTAATCTACTTCTTTGGGCTACAGAATCTACATTATTATCTTATTGTCTCTTTGTGTAGTAAGAAAATGTCTTTAAATCATTCTAGCGCTCGGTATTTCTCTATTGAATTAAATTTGTATTATTTTTTTTAAATGTGTTTATCAGTGTCGATCCTTTTAACCGTCATCCAGACTTATCCGTAGATCTACTCCTCTACCTCATTGTTTCCCAAAGACTGGTGGGTCGCAAGAGATTTTTTTTTTAGTTGCCTTGTCACGATCTGCATGTAGGTCTGCAACATACAGTTCTGACACATGTTGAAATGTTAAGACATGTTTTGTATAATATCTAATCTTTATTATTTATCTTTATTATCAATTCAATTATGTAATTGACTATTTTGTTCCAGTATTGCAGGAAATGTGCTACATTTATTGTCCAAATAGGTGACTTATGGATCCTTTTATTGCTGCTTCAATTACTGTTTTTCATTGTTTAAAACCTGAGTAATACTATAACTTAAATTTCTTGGGTTCTTTTCAAACGCAGTGCAGTAAAGTGTATTAGTGTATGTACCTTGTTGACATGTTTCGGCTGCTAGCTCCAAGCCATCTTCAGAACTGTCCCCAGTGTTGGTGGTGACGTGTCCTGTATCAGCTGTTGTTACATCCTGTAGGCGTGGTCAGCCTGATGGAGCTGGCAGATCGCTCAGACTGACCACACCTCTCGTCGCCTGGTGTTTTCTGGAGGAGGGTGTCCCAGGTGTGTGAAAGGAGGAAAGCTCCGTCATCACGGTTAATGCTGTCCGTGCCTCATTTCCTGATTTCAATGGCCTCCCTGATCCAGTGTGAACTTGCTGTTTTCCGATCCAATGACCCAAGCCCCGTCCCAATCCATAATATTGCGTTGAGTAATACTAATTGTTCAGACATAATCAGTCAGTTAACAATAAAATATCCTTAGTAATGTTCAATAATGCTCAAATCCACCTTTATTTTGTGATTTATGAATAATGTCTGTTGACTTGGGTTGCGAAGGTTTGTGACTTTTAAAATATGGGTCCACAGAAAAAAAATTGGGAAACACTGATCTAACTGATATACATCTACTTTTGGTGTTAATCCTGGCCTTATTTATTTTTTTATTTTTTTTAGTATATTCCAGTTCCTCTCAAATTATAACAAGTCTCTTTGGGTTTGTATCTCACGTGAATAAAGTCCGGGAGCATGTGATTTCAAGTTGGCAGCTCCCTTTTACCTTTTGTTCAGCAGAGATTCCAGAGCTGAAAATATCCAAATGATTTTAGTGAAGCTGTATGAAGTTTAAAAACACAGTAGAGCACTTCTTGTATTACCACATGACATAATAAGGAGTGTTTTCTGTTTGAGAGAAGAACTTAGTCTAAATCTGCAGGGTTTGTGCGTTAAACGTGTGAGAATGAAACAAAACACAACACAACTTCAGGTTTGTGATCAGAAAGTAATATGAATATGAAACCTTTAAATTTAGAATATCGTAATTTTAATTTTCTAATTTTGGTTAAGAAAACAGTCACCCACATCAGTAAATCCTGCTCTTCAATATTTAAGCTTGAAACAACAGAAATACTCCATCGAAACCAGTAAAAAAATACTTGAAATAGTTAAACTGATTAAACCCACGTGATGCAGTCTCCAGGCAACAGTGACCCTGGTTGGTCATGGGGGAGCTGTGCTGATATCGCTTCACTGATGATACATGAGTTCATTCATGACAAATCAAGGAAGTACGTGCACTAGCTCACGGGGCTGTCAAAGTATCGAAAAACGGATGCCAAACGATACTGAAACTAGTATCGAAACTCATTTGAGCAGGTAGTAATTCTAGAAGAAGTCGCACATTCACAGGCATTTTAGGGTAACAGTAGGTCAGTTGATAAGTGTGTTTGACCACTGATCAGAAGGTTGATGGTTCAATTCTCACTCTCAACATAAGAAACATCACGGGTTTTGTCGTGGCTGGATGAAGTAGAAGTATTGTAAAATTAGTTAAGCATCACATGGCAACTTAAAAATACTAGTTTTGATGTAGTTTGCTATAAAGTAATTCTGAATAGTTGTAGTAGTAAGTAGTAGGTGCAATTAGTTGAAGTCCAAAAGTGTGTAGAAGTAGTAGTAGTAGTAGTAGTAGTTGCAGAAGCAGCAGTAGTAATAGTAATAGTCGTGGAAGTAGTTGTAGTAGTAGTAGCAGCAACAGCAGTAGTAGTTGTAGATTCTTTTTAGTTTTTTGTAGTAATAGTTAGTTCCATATTTAAAACTGAAAAATTGATAGACCAGTAGCAGTAGTAGTAGTAGTAGTAGTAGTAGTAGTAGTAGTAGTAGTAGTAGTAGTAGTAGTAGTAGTAGAAGTAGTAGTAGAGGTAGTACTAGTAGTATTAGTAGTACTGCTTGCTGAATTTAGAAATTAGCCATTCCAAAAAAATCTAAGTCTTTCTTCAACAATTTGGTTGAAGTTACAGCTATAAAATATAAAAATAGAAGCTCCTCAAATAAAAAGTATTGCTCGTTAGTAGTTAATGGCCAGTGTTTTTATAAAATTAAAATATAATTTCCACTGATGACTACTGATCAGAAGGTTGGTGATTCAATTGTCACTCTCAACATAAAAAACATCTTTGGTTGAGTGGTCAGATGATTGCTCTCTTTGTGTCCTTGACTATTTATGATTATTGAGCTGTATAAAAGCACATAGACTAAGAATGATAACTGAAATATCATGATATCGCATTGTCAAAATCTCACAATAATATTGTGGGCTGTCACAATATATTGAATTACAAGTTCCTTTGCTTAAATGCATCCTGCAGCAGCTTATAATCATCGGGAACTACATATCCCATGATTCATTTCAGTGCAGACAACATGAAGAAATATGTTTTACTTGAATTCTTGGGGTTATGACAGAAATAATTCACACCGAATTCTTGTCAGGGTATTTTAAAAGCAAAAAAGTATCTACAATTATATCAGCCTCTCCAAAATAACGTGATAATATTGTACCGTGAGATTTGGATAGTGTTACATCCCTATTGGATACCAAACGATACTAAAACTAGTATATTTTATAGGGCGACAGTAGCTCTGTTAGTAAGACCACTGATCAGAAAGTTTTTCGTTGAGTTCTCACTCTCAACATAAGAAACATTGTTGGTTGTTATGATTTTTGAGCTGTATAAAAGCACATAGACTAGAGATGTAACAATAACTGGGATATCTTTTCGTCAAAAGTCTTACAATAGTATCTTGGAGTGTCACAATATATCATATCACAAGTTCCTTTGCTTAAATGCATTTTTTAACAGCTGCAATAGCTTATAAACATTGGGAACTACATATCCCATGATTCATTTCAGTGCAGAAAATTTGAAGACATATGTGTTTTACTTGAAATCTTGGGGTTATGATGGAAATAATTCATGCCAAATTCTTGTCAAGGTATTTTAAAAAACAAAAGTGTCCCATTTACAATTATATCAGCCTCTTCAAAATATCACAATAAATGTCATACCATGAGATGCATATCGTGATAAAATCATATCGAGGGATTTAGATATCGTTACGTCCCTAACATAGACTAGTAAACGCCCCTACACCACTGAGGGATCACTCAGATCTAAGGCCACATGGGAATAAGGAATGAATTAGTGTTGAAAATCACATTGTATTGTCTAAATTAAGAGTGTTTTTGTATTGTCATTTTGGTATCGGAATCAGTATTGAGTCTATTCCTTTGTACTGAAATAAAGTTTTTGGCTGTCCTGTCCTTGAACCTCGCTCAGGATCTGGAGGTGGGTTTATCGCTCTGACTGGTTTCTCTTACGACACTGAATACAGGTCAAATGCAAAGGACAAAAAACATGATATGGGTAATGAGTTTAATTTGTAGTACTTAAGAAAAACAACTTTTGGTTAGATTATCTTTTGATCACACCTTTTTGTGAAACGATCCGACTTGGATGAGTTTAAATTGCATCACATTACGTAGGTTGTCTTTAAAGGGCACATATTACTCTGTTCTAAAGTTGTTTCTTCATTAAAAACTGACCTAAAACAGGCATGGAGTTGTGTTTTGTATCATTTTTAACACACAAACCTTGCATATTTAGTTACCTGACCAGCCACAACCACACGCTTTGATGAAACTCTTCAATTCCAGAGTTCAGATTAACCAGCAGTGTTGGGAAGGTTACTTTTAAAATGTATTCCCCTACAGATTACAGATTACATACCTCAAAATGTAGTTT